TTGTTAACGTTGCAATCAGTTATACGTGACAGTACATGCGGGGTTTTTTTTTTGTTGGGATTGTAAGCACATTTTTTTTGGTAGTGTGTAAGTTTCGTTGTGTAACACTTAGTGCTTGATGAAAATGGAATAAGCAATGTTGAATAGGAAAATGTTGTTTTAGTTTGTTGCAACAGTTCAAATGAGCACGTTGTACATATGTATTCCTTTTTGACAAAATTATAACTCAAAAGACACAGGAAATTTATGGAGCAAGACAGCAGGTGAATTTTGGATGAATGTTGGTGTTGGTAATAGTGGGACGAGTGTAGTGGTGTTGTAAGTCACAGAACATTCGGCAATACGGTGTTGGGTTGTAGTAATGTGGGTTGCGGGTATTACTGGAAGGGTGGGTGTGTAGAACAGTGCAAAAGTAGCACCAGTGTCGTTGTGTAACAGTTTGCACAGTCGATAAGAAAAAAATGTAGAAGCTTATGAACATATAAAAAATCGTGTTAAATGGTATAATCAGTTTTAATGGAAACATGGAAAGATAGAAATGTTGAAATGGGAATAAAAATTGAGCAGTACGATGTATGTAATAATCAAACATGTCTGCATAGGTGTGTTTGGTACATTCCCTTATTTAAACTAAAAGAAATTAAAAGTAGCAAATAAATATTCTAAAACTTTATGGCTGACTTGAATGCTAGATTGGCTCCATGCACGTCTTCCTATTATGGTTCCCCATACGTGGGCACTGACTACACCGAATTTGATAAACTTGTTCCCCCTTGGAAAGCATTCGTTTCTTCTTGGCCCTGCCCGGTGGTCTTTTGACAATCGGTGGTTGTATGAAAAAATCATCCACGTTAAATGATGGTTTCTCAACAGTTGGAATTGGGATAATGTTGTGTGCATACGAACATCGGTACTCTACCACATGGTAGTACGAATCAACAAAAGTGTAAAGGTCTTTGCCACTGTTATGGATGGCAAAAACTACATGAGCGCAAGAGAAACCTTTGATTTGCCACTGGAAACATGAGCATGTATGTCTTCCAACATCAACCATGGCAGATAAGAAAGAGTGAACCTCATAAACATTATCGTTCGATTGGCTCACAAGCCATGATCTGCCTTTGTTGTATGCTTTAACCAAACGAGCTTCCATCTTCGGGCAGACAACGCCATGCCATGCTTTCACCTTGCGCCGACGTTTAGCCCTTTGTCACATAATCTGAGTTCGGATACTGTCTACCATTTGATTTATTGGAAGGTATTGTGTATTATGTATCCATGAGTTAAATGACTCCACTGTATTAGAACTCATCTCCTCGTAACGTGTACCGTTAGTGGAAAAAAAATAGAGACATTAGTTTTAAAACAATTAACAACATGCAAATCGATAACAGGTTATAGGGAAAAACAATTTAAATATGTTGTAGGCCTGAATAAAATTGATTACAAGTATTTACGGGAAATAAGCATTCGCCCAATATTCGGGGGGCAAATCCTTCAAAAATGTCAGTGCGACCTTACATCCGGATTTCATGAACTCTGCTAAACTATGGTTGAATGCAGCCACAGTTGGAGCATATGCACACGCTCGAAATTTAGTCAACAAACCAGCTCGGTACGAACCATTCACGTATCGCATTTTGTCATGCAAGTTCCATTGCAAATGTTGTAAGCAGAATGCATGATGGGCTCTGGGAAATACGATGGGTATTGATTCTATCAATACAATGTGTCGGTCTGAGACGAACGTCAGTGTTCTATACCCATTCACCACATTCACAAGGTGTCCCAAAAACCAAAACCAGTTGGCTGTGTTCTCCGAATCAACGATCGCGATAGCTAAAGGAAACAACCCTAATTTTTTTTTTATTCCATTAAGAATAAAACAAGTAATGTCAATTAAAATATTAACCAATTTAATGGGGGACCACACAATTGGGTGGCAGAAACACATACTAAAAAAAAACAGCCATGCCACGTAGCCCGAATGGACTGGGACTCGACTGCCTCGAATTTTCAAACGACGTCGTTTGATTTTTTTTTTTCTCTCTCTTCTTCTTCCTTCTCTCTCTTCTTCATTCTCCCTCTCTACTCTGTTGCTCTGGAAATTCAAACCCATAGCAAACTCAACAACTCACACACAGATCAAAAAAAAATATGTGTATACATCACAACAATCCTTAACAAACAATCCTTTAATGGAGGGATTCAAAAAAAACTCAAAAAAAAATCACAACAAACAAACCCACAGCAACAATCTCAACGACTCACACACAGATCACAAAAAAATCTGTGTATACATCACAACAATCCTTTAATAGAGGGATTCAAAAAAAACTCAAAAAAAAAACCACAGCAAACAAACCCACAGCAACAATCTCAACAACTCACACACAAATCAAAACAAAATCTATGTATACATCACAACAATCCTTAACAAACAATCCTTTAATGGAGCGATTTAAAAAAAAAAAAAAAAACTCAAAAAAAAAAAATCATAACAAACAAACCCACAGCAACAATCATCAACCAACAAACTCAACAAAAAAAAAATCAAAAATCAAACACACAGCAACAGACAAATCCAAACGAAAATCTAAATCTAAATCTAAATCAAAAATCAAACCCATAGCAACAGACAAACCCAAACGAAAATCCCTTTTCTCTCTCTCTCTCTTCGCCCTTCTCCTTTCTCCTTCCTTTCTCTCTTCTCTCTTTTCTCTTCTCCCTGTTCAAAGAGAGAGAAAAAAAAATTGAAAACGACGTCGTTTTCAATTTCGGGCCAATCAAGCCTTCGACTTTTCAAGCTCTCAAGCTTTATTGAAAAAAAAAATAATGTGTAACAAAACACAAGCATACTAGCCCTCCCCACCCCCCAAATGTGGGGAAACACACCAAAGAGTGCATATGAACTTAAATAATGAACAATAATTGTGTGCTCCCACATAGTAAAATACAACATACCTTGGTTACCATCTTTTGTAGTGGTGACTAACAAATTCCTTTTGAATTTCCCTTTCAAAAACGTCCCATCCAAAAAAAGTAACGATCTGCAATGGTTGAACCCGTCAATACATGCTTTGAATGATATGAAATACCTTATGAAATGATTGTTTTGCTCGTCGTAGTCAATATTGATATAACTTCTCGGGTGGTTGTCCATAACTACGTTACTGTACCAACGTAATTGGTTAAACGAAATTGAGTGTGCATCGAACATTTCCCCGCAAGTTTTTTCAACACCTAACCATGCAACTCAATAACTAACTTCTAATCCGTAATCTTTCTTCAAGTCGTAGACAACATCGGTAGGCCGCGTGAGTGGTTTGTCACGTACCCTCTCGGATATAACATCACACACTAAATTAGACCCAATGCTCGGATGATTGGGTGCCCGCACAACAACACCACAAATGTGCTTCACTATTCCATTTACGAATATAAAAAAAACCATTGTCATGTAAGACACGTGCGTATATAGATCACATGCATCCTTTGGATTCTCTCATAATGCATACCGCTGTAATCTGAACAGAATCATTCTTCATATATTTGAACCGAAATCTACACTCAACCGCATACTTGCGAAGAACCGTTCGGAACTCAATAGCTCCTCCCTCAAAACTTTGCCTAACATGTTGAATCCCATTAGCCCACAGAGGAGACAAAAAAACCTTCTCTACATGAGGACAAAATTTGGATAGCAAATCTTGTTCATCATCCACGTCGGTCTCGTCCACATCCCCATACGTCTAACATGGGACAATCTGCTCATTGTGAGGCGGACTGTCAATGTTATCGACATCTTCGACGTCTCGCAACTAAATGATGACGTCAACACATTGTAGGCAAAAAGACCGCGCAAGTGAGACCATGTTCTCGATATCAGCATCATTCTGCAATGTGAAGTTATTATAACCTGGCATTTTGAAAAACAAACTCACATTCTCGATTGTCAACCCACAAAAATTCCCACACGCACGATTCACCAGATCATAGTAATGAAACGAGGCTTGCAAATTGATTACGGCATTTGTATTACTGAAACAACAAACCAACATTACATGCGTGTCCATCCCCTGTATATATCTAACATAACATCAAAAAAACAACCTACACCAGAAACTGACACACACCTGCCCTGACTACCCTAACACTGAAATCAACATATCCCACAAATCCCTTACCAATCAAATACACCCACCCCATCCATACCTACATAACAGGGACTAATTGGACGACAGGAAATTCTACCGTTACTACGCCGTCACACAGACCACGCAGCACCATCCCCTTCAAAAAAAACCCAAAACCAACATTTAACCCACAATGACATGGACGCAAACAACCCCATAACAAAAATTGATACTACCAATAAAACAAAACAACTCTGTGTTATTAAACAAAAAAAGAATATATACCTACGTAACAACAGCGAAATGAACGATCGAAAATGCTACCCTTACTACAATGTCACACAGACCACGCAGCACCGCCCCACCCAAAAAACCCAAAACCCTAACAGTCAACGTTGAAAATGTGTATCACTGTAACATGTAACTTACCAAAAATGAAGGTGATCCCTTTAAAATAGACCCAATCAAATAAGAGAGGACATAAATGACCACAGCTAACTACCAAACTTAGAAAATAGGATCACATAGATCTAAACCTCTCCACCAATAAGACTTAGCCGGTCATCATTTCAAAAGTGAGACTGATTAGTATAGTTGTTTCTTAAATGGGATTTATTGATAAATATTCCTTCAAAAAATTAGTTTAAAGTTTAAATTAAAATAATAATAAAAGGAACGCTTTACACAGTTTCCTTTTTGGTTTTAAACATAGTACAAATTTTGATCCTAATAAATGGGAGTCATAATTTATCCATTTAGTTTTAAAATAAAAATTAATATCTGAACAAAATGCAATGATTCAATATCAACTATCAAACTAAAGGTATAGTCAGTTCAAAAATAAAATAAAATAACATAAAGGTGTAGCCAAACTATAGAATTTGTTCATTAATTGATATCCAAACAAAAATATGATGTGCACTTGCAAAAAGTGGTGTGAATAGAAGCTAAATTTAATGGCAACCACAATAAAATCTGAAGCAATAACTTAAACTGGGAATGTATTAACTAGCTAGCTCTTGCTCATATCCTCAAAAGCCAAAAACAGAACAGAGATGGATATCCCAATACAAACTTAACAAAGCACCCACAAGTCATTTTAACTTTATCCTAAGGCACAATAACACCTCAACTTTGGCAAACTATGTCAAAGCAGCCAAAACTGAGAGCTTAATAGCATCTCTTGCTTAAGCCGAACTTCCACTAGCAGGCCCGGCACCAAAACCACCACCACCGCGACCGAACCCAGGCCTTCCACCTGGACCCTGCAGATGCATTACCAAGAAAATTGAATAAAACAATAAAATAATCCGAAGCCAATTACATATCTAAAATAGGAAAATGAATTAGCAAACAATGTCATCCACATATATCTCAAACACAAGTCTATTGTTTTTACCAAAATGTGCTATAATGGCTAATGAGGGACAAGATTTTCAATGGCACACTGTCTGAGGAAGAAGATAGTCAGTCGTTCCTCATGTTCTAGTACTTCCTAGTTCCTTCAATTATGTGCCATCCAGTTTACATGGGGATATGGGTTTATTCTACAGATCTAGTTTACATTTGTTGCACCTCTTGGAGCTTTTATAATAACTTTCTTTTTTTAAATAATTATTCCTCTCAGAGGTTACCTAATAAATAAAAAAGGTGCACAATATGACAAAAAGTCCCACTAAAAAACCAAAAAGAAAGGGAAATGGTGGTATGCCCAACCGCACACAGATTACTTCATCCGTTCAAACCATTCAATTTCTCCTAGGGGCAAGACTGTAATGGAAGAAAAAATTACTTGCACCAGAGCCTAGCACTTCTCACAGAGTATTTACATGAACACTCGGGGCAAGACTTAAGTGCTTACCATTATAGTTCAGACATCAAAGATAAAAGAGCAATTTGAAGGTTAAACTCACGAGAATCACCCTCTCCCAACACACACACACAAGATGGTGAGTAAGGCTGCCCTACCTGCTACCTGTTCCCAATCTTGCTCTATGTGAGAGCTTTGTGCACTCAGTAATAGAGTTTATCATGTAGCCACTATACACCAAAAGTTTCACTGACACATTATGCAATGTCTAACATGATTCTTCTTACGGCATGACAGGTTAACAAAACAAAGATAGTTTACATGCACTTGGCAATCACACTGACAATTCTTAAACAATGTTCAGGTCAGACATTAAGATATTAAAAATGTATTATTACAATTCACAACATTGTAAGCGAAAACAAATTAAAGAGATTACCCTAAATGACGGTTGGTAATCAGCTGGAGCTCCTCCCTTTTCACCAAACTCGCCAGGAGGCCCTCCTCTTGGACCTCCACGGTAACCATCACGATCACCAAACCTTGGCCTATCTCCTTCAAATCTAGGTGGACCACTGCAAATTGCACAAATCAAAACATCCAAATTAATGAAGAAAACTTAGATAAACCAATATTCACAAAAATAACACAGAGAAACAAAAGCATCAGTTAGAATAAACATATAGCACCTTAACATATTAGTTTTTCATTTTTTAAAGTCAAGTTCAATTGGTCATGCACAATAAGCTAAACTAACCAGAATGAACAAAATGAGCTGAAATCATATATCATAGCCATTACACTAACATAAATCAACAAAATCATATTAAAACAGGTAAAGTTACCACCAAATTAACAAACACACACATTGCAGTTGGCAGTCAAATAATTGAGAGGCAATTGCAAGATGAAAAAATGTCCACAAACACTCAACAAAAGGCAATGGATATCCAAATGCTAGAGCTGGAATGACTGGAAAATGCACACAAAGCAAAACCCAGAAATCATCACCATCAGGCATCAAATAATAATCAAAGCCTTATCAAATGAAGTAGAAAATTATATAAACTATCCAATTGCCTCAGCTATATCACACAAAAATTCCATATAACCCACTTGTTATCTCAAAAAATAACCAAACCCATCATAACTAACGAACAACTTATGGTTTAATCAGTCCATTTGGAAGACCAGGTGAGAAATGGAAGGAAAAGATTATGGCTTCTCACCTAGATAAGAAAAAAATATAAATGAAATGATTGAGGTTTCTCACCATTCTCTTTGGACGAACATCAAACCAAAAAGGACAAGTCTTTTTGTTTTCTTCGTTTTGTATTTAGATGAGCAATCTAGTTATTATTAAATACTATATATATAAGAACCAGTTTTTTTATTTCTCATCACTTTTGGTGAGAAACAAAACATGAGTTTTAAGAGAATTCTCTTTCTCACACAATTTATCACCTCCTTGATAATCCAAACAAGTAATAAGAGACCCATTTCTCTCCATTTGTTTTCTTTTCTGGCCAATCCTCAAATTCCAAACTGGTTGTTAGAACTAAGTTAGCAACTAGTATACTACCAAACACCCAAAACAGATAACAATCTACAATAATGCTGACAAAAATAAAAATCCGATATGTACAACTATATTTGTATTCCATTCAATTGGACGAAATCAACAAGGTAACAAATTGTAGATCATGTATATTATATTACCGTGGACGATCACCAGGTGGACCACCACCGAAACGACCACCGGCCGGAATAGGACGGGCCGCTCTCTTGAGGGTATTGGGAACGATCTCAGATGGCAAATTGAGATAAGTTCTGAGAAATTCAATGCCATCGTTGGTCAAATACCAGTAATAGTGCATCCAAGCGAAGGTTTCTCGCACGTACTCCTTAGATTTGAAGCTCTGCATGAGCTTGATGACCTGTAGGTTGGGCACATCGATATCTGGGTGCTTCGCGAGGTTGTAATCTTTCTTTGCATAGCACACACCCTCTACATACACAAACAACAATCATATATATATATATATATAGAGAGAGAGAGAGAGAGAGATTGAAGTGAGAGAAGCGAATAAAAAAGTGAAGACCTTGAAAGAGGTATTTGGAGATCTCTCTGCGATTCTTCTCTGGAATGATCTGAACAAAAAGGAAGAAGAAAGATTTATACATATACATAGAGATGATGATTATGATGATGATGATCTTACCATTGTTGAGGTGGAGAAGGAGACTCTGAAGGGGCACAATCAAATGCAAGCTCTCTCTCTATCTCCTCTCTTGCTGCTAAATTGGAACAAACCCTAGATTTTGTAGTTTCTCCAAGGTGAGACTTTTATATTAAAAAAAAACCCTAGCAAAATTATATACCCAGACGCCGTCGTTTTGGATGCCGAATTGATTATTGATTATTGATTATTGATTATTGATTCTCTCTTTTGTGTTTGTTGTTTTGAAAATTAATTATTTTAATTAAGTTTTTTTACTTTTTATAAATTTACATGTATAAAAGTCGAGATTTTTTTAATTATTATAACATGTTGACAAAATAAGTTATTAATTTGGAAATAAAATGACCCTAATTGAAAAATGCAAAGTAATTGTTAAAGGCATTATCTAATTTGTTTAGCATTTATAAGTAAATTTATTTGTTTAAAAAAATTGATTAATGATGTGATTGTAATTTAAATTTTTTAATTTATTTGGCAAAATAAAAAGAGTAAGATTTTCTTTAGTTACAAAATATTTTTTAAAATTTATTTAAAATTCTTGAATATGCACGAAGAAGAGAATCTCATCTCTCTGTCTTAATTATAAATTTAAAGACATTCTAAACTTTTACAACAAAAAATTATATATATTTGACCAAAATGTTCAAATTATCAAAAATTTCACCGAATAAATTTATAACTTAATTAAATCTTAAACAGTTATATAGGTAATTCGGTTGGATATGCTCCAAGCCAAACAACTTCCTTCACAGTTCCGCTCAAAATGAGGCAACAATTTTCATCATATATAGGGTTATTTTGGAAAGTTGACTTTTAGTCACTTTTTTTGATTTGTAGCAAAAGTTAAAAGTTAACTTTTTTATTTTTTTTTTCATTTGAGAAGTTGATTTTTAGCCAACGGTGAAATTACAATTTTATCCTCATGGGTCAAAATGTGTTACATAGGTGAAGTTGTAAATATTTTAAATAAATAGGAATAGTTTAGTCATTTTATTATGATTTGACATCATAAACAAACATTAATCAAAAAAGCCAAAAAGTCACTTTTTACTAACTTCCCAAATCATTTGTGTAAAAAAGCCAAAAGCTTGGTTAAAAGCCAAAAAATCACTTTTTATCATCTTTCCAAAATAAGCCATAATAAAATAGTGAACCTACTGGCCTATTTTGGCAACAAGGTTAAAAATTAACTTTTTAACTTTTTTAAATCCCATCATTTCTCTATTTATTTTTATTTTTTTTGCATATTTTTTCTCAAAAAAATCAAAAAATTAACTTTTACCCTACTTTTCAAAATAGACTTTAGTACAGTTCCTAATAGTTGAAAACAGATAATCAAAAAACAAAAAATAAAAATCTCACTCAAGTTTCCCAACTAGCATTTATCAAAAAAAAAAAAAGAAGAAGAAGAAGAAGAAGCTATAACCAACCCAAATGAATTACACCAAACAGGGCCGAGATTTGTGGCAACCCAGTAGTAAACGATGAATTTATACTAGTTGTTATGAACCACAAAATTCTAGTAGTAATTCATCACAAAGAAAACATTTCATTGTTTACAGTTGTTTCTGTTCATGATTCAACAATATAATCCACAAAACAAAATAATTGCAGGAAAAGAAGAAAAAAATAAAAAATAAAAAGACAAAAAGAGCATACATGTTCGTTACATTTCACAAATTACATACATTTCATAAGTTACATTTCCCCTCTTGCCTTATAATGTTCTCTCTCCCTTTCTCTCATTATTATGCTGTTCAACCGCTGAGCCAAATGCATCAGTCTGAAGCAAAAACAAACAGGCGCATGAATTTAAATTTGAATGTCTTTTATGTTCACGTCATTGTATCATCTCAATGGCAGCAGGTAAAATAAAAAATTTCCTAGGAAGAAACCCTAGAAATTCACCATCAGACTGCACGTAAATGCTGTTGTTGCTGCTGCTGCCTCCAATCTCCTCAACTTCAATGGAATGTGCACTGCAACAGAAAATAAGAAGCGCACAAGATCAGACACCGCCTTAAGAGCTCTGGATTGGAAATATCTAAATCTTGCTTGCAAGTATATAGCTTGTACAATAAGCAGATATGGCTATCACTCATAAAAGTGCAAAAATTGTATCCCAAGCAACCCAACACTTAAAGGATAACCTCCAAGTAAAAAGGTATTCTTGAACACACCTGCGATCTGATTCCTGTGTATTTAGTTCTAGATTTTTTAAAGGCTCTTGTTGCTGACAAGATTAACCTTAAAGTATGCATACTGTATAAAGGTTGGTCTTTAAGAGAACCATGCAGACCAAATTAGGTACAAACGAAATAAGTTGATATAATCACATAACTTCTACTGTTGTTCACCCATTAATTGTATCTTCAAATATGTCGTCACTAACAAACAATAAGAAAGAAGCCAATTGGCTAAACAAAACAGCGCATAAATAGGCGTATGAATCACAGCATGGAAAATAGTTGTAACAAACTTATACTGAGTGAAACTAAACATAATTAGATTAAGAAAGGAAAGAAATTTTAAAAAAGTACAATTTTTCATTGCCTAAATCACAGGGAGATTAGAAGAAGCATTGGCCATATCCAAATCAAGTTGGTTAACGATCTACCACAAAGCTGGCCCATTGAGGGACTACAAGATACAATGTTCGAAGTTGCCTCAAATCACTTTAATGGCCAGGATTTTTTTGACTTTACACGCATTACATATTCATCACCACATGCTTGACACATTTCCTCATCCCTCAGAAATCAGGAAAGAAGAGCAAACTATAGAACTAGCAAAAAAATAAAGCAAACACGGAAACAAAAATTTGGTTTTAGAGAAAGAACGAACCTTCTTGAAAATACATTTTTGACTGATAAATGTGTCCCATTGTACAGCTTATGCAGCTTAAGAATAAAGTCGTACCATTTGAAGTCCTGAAGAATCACCACCTGTACAAAAACAAGTTAAAAGTCAACTTTCCAGGCACAGCCTAAATGGCGTAATGTAGAAGTGTTAGTAAAACATTTAATCATGAATAGTTAGAAAACTTTCTACCTCAAAATTTCCATTTGATGGGTCTGCATTTGGAGTAATCTTCATGCCACCACCAAAGAATTTTGCATTTCCAATGCACAGAGCTGTCACCTTAGAACATACTTCCCATTCACCCTCATTGACCTAAATGAAACACGGTATATGAAGTTTCAACAATATAAATAATAAATTTGAAGAATCATGTAATAAAACACAGCACAAAAAGAGCTGAGAGAATTGATTCAGTAGAGAATATTGGCTTGCACAGACCTTGATCTTAAGGTCCTGGTTATGGTGCCCAAAAAAGGCTTGCAAAGCACCAATAACGTAACATAAGTTTCCAAACCTCTTGTATCTAGATGCGAAATAACCTGCCTTTGCACTCCTGCAAAATGCAAAAGAACATAGCAATGCAATTTTTTAAATCCGCATGTGCTTTTTGACCAAGATCAGTCTAATGTTTTCTTAAGAAGGTAAACCTACAAATGAATATCAGCAACATTTAGGAAGTAGTGTGATTCTCCACTTCCACCAACAATTACTCCAATGTCAATCCGAGATCTCAGCCCTGAAAAGATCTCTATCAGAAGATAAACATGACAGTAACTAGACACAGAAAATGCAAGACTGAGAATAATTATACCACCTCAAACTCATCTATGAATAAAAGCTCTGGCAATGAATAAAATGAATATGAGACAAGGAAGCAAATTGATTAGTGGATTGACCTCTAGCTATGCGTTCGATGGCTTCATGAGTATCATTTTTCCTGATTAAACAAATGACAGCAGACATTTCCATTTAACAGTCTGAAGCAAAAAATAATTATAAAATGGCATATAATATAGCAAATGAAACCTGTAAAAGAAACAACTTACCAGCCAAATGTTCTGGCAAAATCAGATCCAGTCCCCAAGGGAATAAGCTGTAAAGAATGCACAATTATCATATATTACTCTCCAGAACCCAAGCCAAACACATTAATATATGCACTGAACTTTACAGCCAGCAAAGTACATAAGAGAGAAGTCTAAAGTGATATCGGAAAGCTGATAAATCACTTACACCAAGTGCAGTTGTATGGGTAGCCATTGTATCATGATTAGAAACATGTTTCCCTCCCCAGAAGAAGCCATTAACAACCTACAAATATGCAGGCATCTTATCCGTTAAATAGAATTAGCATTGGTAACAAGATTCATGATGATCAATCAAGGGAATAGTTAACCAATGTTGATGCTAAAATCTTGCAAAACCCAATGGAAAGTTTAGCCTCAAGACAGGTCTGTCTTGGCCCATATATTGGTTAAGAATCTAAGATAGCCGAAAGCTTCCATTACAGAGCCGAAGAATTTGTTCATATAGTATATTTTGTTCACACATTATAGTAAGTACAAGCTTTCACAGTTTGTTTGTTTGTTTGTTTTTTTTTGATAACTTGGTATCCGGCCCTAAGGACCGACTAATATGGGGAACCAATCCCACCACGCACCAGCAGAGGCCCCAATTAAAGTCGGGGCAAAGCCCTGTATGGACTAGCCCCAAGAAATTGTTTGCACCTAGGAGTTTTCAAACCTGAGACCATAGAGGGAGCACACCCTCAGGGCCTAGGCCTTGACCACAAGGTGTCACAGTTGACCATGCATGATACAGTGATCTTTTGTGGCATGTAGGAAATAGATGCACCAGACTTAACATGTTATGGAAAAATAGATTTTAAAGAGCATAAAATTTCATTTAGAAAATAAAATGTTTTGCTTCCTATGGCAAGCACACTTGTTTATTATCTATTTATTCTTTCATTTCAATTGGCATTATTCATTGTGGAAACATCATAAAACCTTCTGACTCACAGGAGATTATAATGTTTCTTCCCATTTATGGCACAAATACATTAAATTGCTTTTGGTCTAATGAGCCACACTAATTGAAAAGTGCTGCAGATGCAATGGATGTCATAACTTTTGACTACATTTGTGACGAAAATAAGAGAAATAAAGAGCATGGAGTTTGATAGATGCAACCAAATTTTTTTTTTTTTTGGGAAGCATTATTTTAAAGAAAGAAAAAAGTTGCACCTCATGAAGAGTTCCATCACCCCCAACAGCAATCACCGCATCAGCACCTTCACGTATAGCCTGCAAAAGAACTTATGTTAACATTTCCACCTAACATACCTGATTCGAGTTTTAAGCACAAACTACAGAGGATCAAGATGCCAACCTCCCTTGTTATGTCAATTGCATGACAAGGACCTGAAGTCAAAGATTCGGATATCTGGTCACAATGTAGAGAAATACTTCACAAAACAAATAAATCTGAAAGCTAATGACTTATCTACAAGATTACATAGCAGAAACAACAAAAGCTATGACAAACATACTAGATGAGATCATAAGAATGATATGGTAAAAGTACAAACACTCAAGTTAAAGTTTAAAACATAATGATATTTTTGTTCACATGAACAGCTCCATATAATTACTAGGGGTGAAATCGGTTCGGTTCGGCCGGGTTTTTTTTCCCCAATTTTCGGACCGAACCGGTTCATTTGGTTCTATACTTATGATAACCAAACAAACCGAAATACGTATATAAACCGCACCAAACCAGTTCATGTGGTTTGGTGCAGTTCGGCCGGTTGTTACAGTTTTTGGCCTCTTTTGTGCTAGCAAAAAATACATCAGTAATTTGAAGAAAAAACATAATAAAATTAAAACAAGTTTGAAAAAAGAACCCCAAATTGCTAAATGCAATGTAGATTTGTGATGGATACCCTGTTCTGGAAAAAATATATATATATACAAAAGGGTTGCTGTAAAAAAATAAAAAAAGTTTGAAAAAAAAGCCCCCAAAGTGCTAAATGCAATGTAGTTATTTGTGATGGATGATATCCATCCAATTCAAGAACCACAAAAAAAAAAAAACAAAAACAAAAACAAAACAAAAGACATATAACAGTAAATATTAATTCAATTCAACGGTTCAAAATTCAGCAAAATCAAAAGGTTGTCAAAAAGGTTTAAAAGGTTAGGGATTTCAAAAAGGTTCAAAAGGCTACGTGTTCAAAATCAAAAATAGGGTTTTCAAAATAAAAAACAAGGACTTCAAATTTACCTTAGTTTGGAGTCAAAATTAATATAGCAACAATAAGATCACTGCAATAAGAGTAAAGACGAAGGACTGTGATAGATCGCCCACGTCCGCGCTTCAGATGTAACAATGAAGAGTGCAACAAATCGTCATGGATGAGAGTGGTGATGAATGAGAAACCCTAAGGCTATGAGAAACCCTGAGGCTGTGAGAAGTTGAAGATGGAGAGAGAGAGAGAGAGACTGTTTATTTACCCACTGTCTCTGTGTGAAAAAAAGGAGGGTTTTTTTTTATATATAAGTGAGGCACATCAATGGCTGTGATTGTGCCACGTGGACAGCTAAGGTGATTAGGGATGTTTGGTGCAATGCGGTGCGGTTCGGCCTTATTTTTAGCAAAACCAAAACCGAAACCGAAAACCATAAAAAATAAAAAATAATCCAATCAACCGCAGCTAGACAAAAAAAACAGACCGAAAACCGTGCGGTTCGGTCGGTTCGATTTATGCAGTTAATCTTTCACCCCTAATAATTACTCAAATGATGCTATGCTAAGGCTCAAATTGTGCCTGAAGGCCACTTGAGCCCACTACAGAAGTTGCTGACAAAAGATCCTGCAAGCTCCACTTAAAGCGCACTTGAAGGCTGTTCAAGTGGATCAGTGTTTTAAAAGGCGCATGCAATGAGGCGCAGCCTTGTGCTTTGAACAGGTTGAGGAGAGGCGCAATACGTAAGGCGTAGCTTAGGCGCTTAGACGAAAGCTTTTTTTCGAGGCGTGAGGCGTGGACTTCATGGGCTTTACCTATTTTTCTACTCCAACTATTGATTAAGTGCTTTTTTTGTAGGCATACCCACGGGAATTCAAAACTCTTCAATATAAAATAACCAAACATGATCAAAAGATAACAGAAAGTGATAAAAGATTTGATGTTATGCTTTATATCTTTTGTTAGATATTATATTTCTAATTTTTAGATGATTGAATATTATGTTTAAAAATTATCGGAAATAGTTATGATTTTTGAAATTCTACATATATTTGTTATGTTGAAAAGTTTGTCTATTTTATAATTTCGCTTTTCTTCTATTACTTGCGCTTTGCTTTGGTGAGGCGCGCACCTTGTCTCGCGCCTCGCACTTAGGCTATAGGAGACCTTATCACCTCGGTGCGCCTAGAGCCTTTCAAAACACTAGAGTGGAGGCAATGACTCGCATTCTATGGAGATCATGAGTATTCATAAGTTCTTGAAAGACATTTGAAACCTATACTTCTCAATATTTAAAACTATTCTTAAATTTATTTATTTATTTTAAAATCACGGAGGGTTACATGATTGAGTGCTTTTATCAAAGCCCATGCATATTTGCACTACATACCAATACATTGGTCTTTCGTTATCCAAGAGTAAAAGAGATCGTAGTGACAAGTTTCATGGTGCCATCATGAGATGAAGGGTCAATCTTAGGTATTCAGGGCAACAAGAAGTGGGAAGCAAGCAAAGAGATTTGTGGAAGACTGCAAGAATAAGGTTAACCAGTGTTGGCTTGTAAGCCTTTTCTTAAGTCTTGTGACTCTTGATCAATAGTGTATAGTGTAGTATGAATGAATTATTTATGCCTGTGGTTTTATGTGTGGTTTCCATGACTATTGCATGATATGTATCCACGATTTCAATACTTAATTGTTCTATTTTGACCAAAGGGTGTTAACAAGGGTGTTAACTTCTTTATTCATGTCTATTTTCCTAAATGATACTCATGCTATATACCACCCACTCATTCGACTAGGTTCTAGAGCTATAACTGAATTACGCAGCTCACTCAAGTTCTTTCTCACAAATTAAGACTAGTGTTACCAGAAAACGTTGATACCCTATCGAATTATGTTCCAAATGGTAAATTTGGTGATTCAACGCGATCCTATTGTTCCAATATATTTCCTTGAAAAATGCTCCATCCCGCCAATTTTTCACCCCCACACTCCCCCAAATGATGTGGCAAACAATCCTAGCCAATCAACTCTCTTTAAACTCTTCTCTCTCCCTTCAAATTGTTTGCCACACCATTGGAGGGGAGTTTGGGGGAGGGGGAAATTAAGAAAATGTAACATTGCTCATTTACTCTTAGGAGTATAAAAAAAAAATTAAAAAAGTATATATATAATTAACTAAAATCCAAAGTGACAAAACATAAAAAATAAGTCATAATGTTCTTAAAATGGGTTGCCATATGATTAATTTTAAAATATATATATATTGGAAGTCTAATTATTTAAAAAAATTCTATAAACTAAAAGTCCCTTAAATTTTTATAGTATAAATCACACAAGACTACCCTTATTATATCACAATTTAGAGCATGTGTTGTACCGTGTTTCCGTTCCCGTGCCACGTACCAGGACAATTCACACTCCAGGTAACATAGATTGAGACTTTACATACAAAAAACAAGAGTATAGTTGCATTTCCTAAATCATCTTCTCTAGATTTTCTCCATATTCAAAACCATCATTTTCAACAGTGCACACCCCTTACAGAATAATCCATACCTTAGTATGATTTGAGCAATTATCATCGCATTTTAATCCAATCAAAGATCTAACATTTCAAACAACAATACACAAATTAACACTGCAGTTTTCCCAGAATCAACAAAATGAATCGAAGTGCAAACTCACATTACACTCCGAACCAAGCCGAGACCTCAGATACGGCAGTAGAGTCTTCCATTCCTTCCCCGTCCGACCACTAGCACCTGAATCGATTACAAAAATCCTCAAAAACTTCAAAAATCCAAATCAAAGAATCTAGAGAGGGAGAGAGAGTAACCTCGGGGATTGACGACGAAGACGATATCACGGCGGCGAAAGGAGGAGCCACCGCCGTGAGAAATAGTACGGTCGGCGGAGATGTCAGGAGCCATGGGTTGCTCCGCCCTGAAAACCGAGGGTTTGGCCATTGCTACCACCGCTATACCGTAATAAACCATTACATGTATATATATACATATATACGATGATGATGATGATGATTACGATTCGTATTAGTAGTTTTTAAGAGAAAAAGCAAGATATATATTCGATTATTCGATTAAGCTTTTTATGAACTTTCTGGAGAAGAAGATGATGAAACTAATCCTCAGATTTGAGGTGATTAAATGACACTAATGGAGTTTTGACTGAGATTAATTCTTTGTAATTGTCACCGGTATGGTATGGCGTTCTTATGGATTACTTCGATGCTGAGTTTATTAGTTCGATGATTACAATTACATTGTTTTAGTAAATTACGTTTTGTCCCTCAAATATGGTTTTATTCTCAATTTATTCCTCAAAAAAAAAAGGTTCCCTTCAATTTGGTTCTTCAATTCGTACTCAACTTTATTTCAAATATACTTTATTCTTTTGCCTTTGTTATAAATAATTACTATTATTCTCATTATATTTTAGAGTAATTTTTTTTTTTTTTGTGTTTATATTTGGAGTAAAATATAATGAGAATAGCTTGCTTGGTTCTCATTTTCTAAAAATAGTTTTCAAAAAATTTTACTTTCTTATTTTTTGTATTATTTTGTTTTTACTGAATTTTTTTAATATTTTATGCGAATTTTTTACTTTTTAGACACACCTAACATAAATACACCTAAAAGTAAAAAAATTGTAAAAAAAATCTTTTAAAAATTCACTAAATATCAAAAATATAAAAAAAAATACAAGAATTCAGTATATTTTTATATTTTTATGTATTTCTTAATTTTTTAAAATATTTTTTTACAATTTTTTTACATTTTAGATACATCTAAGTAAGGTGCATCTAAAAAAGTAAAAAAAATGTTTAAAATTTTAAAAATATTTACTAAAAATAAAAAAATACGAAAATCAAAAAATTCAGTTTTCAAAAAATTTAATCCAGAAAACTCAAACCAAACACACTGAATAATGCCTCTTTTTTTTATATGAGATACAATGCAATTATTTTATAAAAAAAAAAGGTAATTATCATACAAATTAATAAAAGAAAAAAACAGGAAAATCCAAAGGGCCAAGTGCAGTTCTTCTATTAATATTAGGATAAATTATATATACGCTTTTTGAAATTTGATTAAAATATAAATTATTCTTTGCAGTTTGAAAAATTACAAATATCTCCATGTTATAATTTTTTTTTAACAAAATTAATTGAAAAAGTGAAATTTCTAACTATTTACCTATACAATAATAAAATTATCTGAATTATTAATTGAAATAAAATTTTAACATTATTAAAAACTGTTAATTAATTTGATTTATTAATAAAATAATCTATTTATTATAAGATTAAAAATTTTAGAGACATAATATAATTTTTAAAATCATAAAAATAATTTATAATTTAAATAAATCTTAAAAGATGTGCTTATAATTTGCTCAAATTATTACTAGCCTATCACCCGAGCTATGCACGGGATAATTATAAATATTTATATTTATTTTAGATATAAATTATGTTTTTAAGATTTTTTATAAAAATAATTTAAAAATCTTATCACTAACCATAGTGCATGAGAGAAGTTGAAAAGGGTACTGCAGTAACTATGTACGAGTTGTATCTATAATTATCTGTATGAGGGGATTTTAAATGTTGATTAGAGAATTTTGACCAAATCAATCAATGTAGGTATGTGGAAAGACATGTGGATTGAAAAAATGTAATAAATGCTAATAAAGGGATATATATGTGAATTGTGATTTTTAAATGTCTTCTTTTTTTTTCTTTTTTAATATTTTGATATTTTGATAATAATCATATGTGTTGGACTTTTCAATGAATTAAAGTTTAATATTTTGATAATAATCATATGTGTTGTACTTTTCAAGAAATTTTTTTTATGCTTGTTCTTAATGCATTAAAGTGTTGTTATGAGAGATAATAATCATATATGTTAGGACTTTTCAAGAAATTCATATGTGTTGGACTTTTTAAGAAATTTTTTTTATATTTATTCTAAATACATTAAAGTGTTATTATAAGGATAAAACTTTGGGGTTGTGAGAAATTAATAAATATTAAGATTTTTTTTTTTAAATCAAGAAATTTAGATTCAGATATTAAAACTCCCACAAAACTTGTGGATTAGAAATAGATATAAATAAATAGATAGATATAGATATAGATATTTATATTTGTTTTAATTTTTTTTTAATATACAAATTATTTGTTTTGGAAAAAGTACTGCAATAATTATGAGAGAAGTCAAAAAATCTTATGAATTGAGAGAAGTTAATAAATACTAAGGTTAATTTTTTTTAAAAAAAACAAAAAATAAAAAAATTAAGATTAACATGTTAGAATTTTCACAGGCCTTAAGAATTAAAAATCTCTTTTTACTTAATATACTGTATAAATTAATTTTTGCTTGTCCCAATTGTGAAGTGGTGGACCCAAAAATCAATGTGAAGGGGGCTAAGGTTACACGTCAGTCAATCAATTCGTATTTATTATTATGAAACTCCAAACCGAACTTATCTTCATCAGTTAGGTGAATTAAAAACATGTAACCTTAAATAAAGAGATAAACTAAATTTGAATTTTTATTTTGAGATTGCAAATAAATATATATTTCTCGATTAAATACAAATAAATTCATTTTGACATAACACAAGTATAGAAGATAAAAGACAAAGACCCATTTGCCCACAGTTGCAAATTTGGATCTTAGATCATTAATATATAGGAATGGCAATGGGGGGCAATGGAGTGGATATTAATTCTCTATCCCTATTTTTTTATAATAAATTTTTCCCATTCCCTATAGGGATGGCAATCTCAAACCGACCCGATGGGGACCCGATCCCCTGATCCCGAATATAATAGTTATTCCCCGAAAAATACCCCCGACGGGCCGAGGATGGTGATAAAAAAAAAATCCTCGATGATATTCGGACCGGGGACGGGGACACACGTTTCAGTCCCGGCCCCGACCTCAAGGCCCACCCCGTTGATCTCCCCGAATAATATATATATTATATATCCCCGGTCAATGTCATCCTATCTTTTATTCATTTAGTTATATATCTATTCATACTTTTTTTTTGATTTCATCTCCATCTTATCTACTCTCTCTCATAAAGTAGATCTACTCTCTCTCTCTCTCTCTCTCTCTCTCTCCATTCCTCACATCTCTCCTCCTCCTCCACGGATCACTACGCCATCGTCTCTCTCTCCCTCACTCACGGCGGCTCCTTTCTCTCCTCGCAGAACCCCCGCAACCACAGCCCTAAGAATGGCCACGGCGGCTCTGTTCGGCCTCAGTCCGTCGATCCTCCACCACCACATCCTCTACCGCAGATCTGAACAACACAGCCTCTGCCCGTCCTCCGCCGCAGATTTCGACATCACTCCCTTCTCCGTCGCAGCACCACTTCTATCTGGCCTCCGTCGCAGCTCCGGTGTTTGACCTAGACAACGCCGACGGCATACGGCTCATCACTCAGATCTGGTTTTTGTTTTTTTTTTTCAAATTGTTGTTGATCACCAGTTCATCATCACTCAGATCTGTTTATTTATTTATTTATTTTTCAAGTTGTTGATGATGAAGATGATGATAGTTATGTTTGTATGTGTTTTGTGTTTCAGATTATTTCTTTTTAAGTTTTTTATTTTGAAGTTAATGATGATTGTTGATGATCATGAAGAAACAAATTTAAAAAAAAAAATTGTTGTGTTTCTGTGTTGAACAAAATTAAAAAAAAAAAACAAAAACAAAAACAGGTCGGGGATTTTTCGGGGTCGGGAAAACCCGATCCCCGTTAGGGAGCGGGGGCGGGGGGGTTGATGGTGTCCCCGTCGGGGATCGAGGGCAGGGACGGGGATTTTCTGGTCTTCGGGGATCGGGGACGGGGAGGGTGATCCCCGGCCCCGCCCCGCCCCGTTGCCATTCCTAATTCCCCATGGATACCACCCTCCCCATTTTTTAATGGATATGAATTTTCCCCAACCCACTTTAATCCCCATTTTTATTTTTTATATTTAATGTTAACAACCACTTTTCTTTTTCTTTTTTTTTTAAGGTTCACAACAAAAACTAAATATACCTTCAATCTTTTTTCTTTCTTTTTTAATATATTTAATGTTAACAATTTTTTTTTTTCAAGGTTCACAACAAAAGTTAAATATACCTTCAATCTTTTTTCTTTCTTTTTTAATATATTTAATGTTAACAATTTTTTTGTTTTCAAGGTTCACAACAAAAGTTAAATATACCTTCAATCTTTTTTCTTTCTTTTTTAATATATTTAATGTTAACAATTTATTTTTTTTCAAGGTTCACAACAAAAGTTAAATATACCTTCAATCTTTTTTCTTTCTTTTTTAATATATTTAATGTTAACAATTTATTTTTTTTCAAGGTTCACAACAAAAGTTAAATATACCTTCAATCTTTTTTCTTTCTTTTTTAATATATTTAATGTTAACAATTTATTTTTTTTCAAGGTTCACAACAAAAGTTAAATATACCTTCAATCTTTTTTCTTTCTTTTTTAATATATTTAATGTTAACAATTTATTTTTTTTCAAGGTTCACAACAAAAGTTAAATATACCTTCAATCTTTTTTCTTTCTTTTTTAATATATTTAATGTTAACAATTTATTTTTTTTCAAGGTTCACAACAAAAGTTAAATATACCTTCAATCTTTTTTCTTTCTTTTTTAATATATTTAATGTTAACAATTTATTTTTTTTCAAGGTTCACAACAAAAGTTAAATATACCTTCAATCTTTTTTCTTTCTTTTTTAATATATTTAATGTTAACAATTTATTTTTTTTCAAGGTTCACAACAAAAGTTAAATATACCTTCAATCTTTTTTCTTTCTTTTTTAATATATTTAATGTTAACAATTTATTTTTTTTCAAGGTTCACAACAAAAGTTAAATATACCTTCAATCTTTTTTCTTTCTTTTTTAATATATTTAATGTTAACAATTTATTTTTTTTCAAGGTTCACAACAAAAGTTAAATATACCTTCAATCTTTTTTCTTTCTTTTTTAATATATTTAATGTTAACAACTTTCTTGT